CTTCATGGTTTATATATTCACGTTTAGTTTGTTATTCAAAATAAAACTATACAATTGTGTTTTCCTTTGCGACCTTCATCGACGTAAATTAAAGGTTCGTAAAGTTAAAAATACACAAAACTCAATAGTTTCACTTTAACTAGCCAAAGGAAATGTAGCATATACTTTCCCGATCATAGCATTTATCGTCCAAGAAACACTTTAACTGAAATAAGCACGTTCTCTCTATTCAAGCTGTTAATTTAGATTTGCAAGGTCACGCACGAGGAACTACGAAAGAGGTGTTTATATTGAAATTATAGTTCATCATTGAATAACTGAATGCTTAAGTCCTATGCAGTTGCCTGGCATACGCCAAAAATATCGCTAGCTGCCGCATTTTTGTACCGCTGATCTTTGACCGAGTCGATAGTATAACTGTCCTTTTAATCCTTTGACACTATCGCTTAGACAAACAAGGTGGTATCGATCTTTTCATTATGTGATCAAACAACAAATAAGCTAACGCAGGTGAGAAGTTCAAAGACTTGGAGAGACGCTTTTACTCCGTCGATGGAAGCTCTATGGTAAAGAATCATAATAAAGGAATTTCGGGAGTTTTTAACAACAAAAAAAACAAAGAAGTCAAAACGTATAACGTTCCATTAGCCAATTATTCCAAAGAAGACGCATGGCAAAGAAAACTTACATCGATGTGTGTCATTACATGCCGGTAACAGCATGATCATGGTGCCCGAGAATAAAAAGCGTTTACGGAAAATACATCAAATAATAACCTGTAAATGACAAAGAAATGATCTACTTGCCTTCCGAAATGCCTGTTGTACCAGGTTCTTCCATTCGCCACCCACACCTCGTAGCTTTTTCCAAAGAGCTTCTTCTTTAAGCGCCGCCGTGGCCACTTTTCCTCCTTCGCCTCGTTGTTTCCTGCTATCCTTCTTCCCTCTATTCTCATTCGCTATCCTCTCTCTCTCCCTCTCGCGCCCGTCACAATCTGCAGAGTAAAATCTTGATGATACACTAACAGAACTTTCCTTTTGTCTGATTTAATCTTATTGGTTTCACCTTTTGAAGAAGGAGAAGACATGAGCGAGAGGTGCTTTTGGACAGACTGAGAGAAAAACAAAAAGAGCTCTGTTGCAGTTGGTGGAGAGCAGCCACAACTGCGTTTACAGCTGGGTTTCAGCCCTCGGCCATTTGCGTTCAAATGTATTACTTTACCTCAGGTTTGTAAAAACAAATGCCATGGAAATGTATTGTAAACAAATTGTCATTTTGCTGGAATAAACGTACCTCGCAATATTGTAGTTCTGGGTTGTTATATTTGATTCAAAGCAACATGCTTAACACACTTAATACAGAACTGTTGTCAGATAGTAGCTCTACCTATATGAAAGCATTAACGCATCACATTATCATATTGTGTAACAAAGATCGAATTTTGCGCTTAACAATTATTTATTCTATGGAGCGTAGAAATGTACGCAGCCCAGAGAATCATTATTTAATTTTCAACATCAGGCATTTCAATAATAATGATAATAATAATAATAATAATAATAATAATAATACATGACTGATAAAATGTATGAGTACTTTTGATGATAATAAATTATGTATTACTGTGCCCCTGTAACTGTCTACTGTACGCTAGATGGCAGCCCGGTCCAGACATTTTAAGTCGCTTCGCTTTGCTGCTAACAGACAATCGGATTCTCCATAAAATGCCTAAACAACTTGAATTCAGAAATATGATGTTAATAATCAATTGTTTCTCTGTTTTATTACTGTTTTGTAAAAAAAAAAAAAAAACACTAACGCTTCAAATGTGTTTTTTTTCCCATCGGTGTAGAGATTCGCGATTCCATCTAGCCTATATGCAGACATATTTCTCGAACGTATTGATATATGTGAAGGAAAGGGAGCACGGGAGATATACTGTAATCTCATGTAGCCTACGTTCTATAATTTAGACATAAGGAGAAGCGTTCTGTATTATATAATGAAATAATGATTGCCATAAACACATAACGGTAAACTTTAAAGCGATACTGATCGACTCCTTTCAGCCGAGGCGCTTGTTTATTTCACGTGCACCAAGATCTGCCCCATCTTTTACCCTTTTTTTTGGTCATTCTTTCCAGGGTTTCTTCCTCTTTTGTGACAATGGACGACCCATACTAATCAGGTTTCAAAGTAAATAGCGGCGCAGGGCGAGCTCAATGTAAATTGTGCTTGTCAGAACCCCCCCACCGCAGTCGTAGGTAGCAAGGAGCGAGGGCTCTAACCAATGGAGTGCAGGAGGCTTGGCTAACCTTAGCTTCCCATTTTTCTCTCCCCCCTCAATGCAGGGCTCTGACCAGTCAGTCGCCTTTGATTATCAGTTGCCAGCAGCCCCTCTCTTGGCTCCTTGACATGAGCACCATATAAGGCGCAGCGATCTCCATAGAAACGTGTCAGTTTCAATAGTAGTGTCAAAGTTCACTATATACAGACATTCGCGCAGATCCCCGTTTCGGAAACATTGCTC